ATAAGCAATCATCTAGTGTTGAATGGAAAGCAGAAAAACAGCAAAAGAGTATGTTATATAATTTAATTTATGTAAATATTTTAAAACAGGCAAAGTAATTTGTGATATTAGCAATCAGGATAATTACACTTGGGAGATTAATAAGCATAAGGTGGCACGAAAGGGGCTTCTGGGGCATAGATAAGGCTCTGTTTCTTGATCTGGGTGCTGGTTACATGAATATGTTCTCTTTGTTAAAATTCATTGAGCTGAATACTTATGACTTGTGTAGATTTTGTATGCATCATATACTACAATAGAAAGAAAAAATTAAGATAAAGCAAAGCAGACAAACCAACTGACTAATACCACATGTGCATAGGCCCCACCTAAAGGGATATGGTTTCAATTAATCTTTGGAAGGTCCAGTTACCATCATTTTCCATACGTGTATTGGGCAATATTTTTTCTCCATCAGCACTGGTTTCTCTAATTTTTGCCAAATTTTTCTCTTAGATATGTGCCATTTTCTTATTGCTTTTGTTGGCATTTATTATATCACTAATCATGTGCCTGGTATGCTTATTGCAAATATGTTATTCTTGTCTATAATTATATTTTTACTTTGTTTAAGACATATTTTGTCAATTCTTGAGGTTACATTTTCCAGTATTCTTCTGTATCTGTTTTACTTTTGTTATTATTTCAAAAATCCTTCCCTATTTATTTTATAAGATATGCTATGAATATTTTAAAGTTTACTATTTACATTTGAGTCTCTAATCCATCACATATTTATTCTAGTATATGACAAAAGGTAGGGTTCTCATAATTTTTCTACATTATAAGTGAGTCCATTGTTCTACTGCCAGTATAGATGTAATCATCATTTCCCCAAATATTTGTTACTCCAATTCCATCATATATCAAATTGGCTTACAATTGGGCAAAATCACGTAATACAAGCCCATTTTATAATAAAGTGTTGGGTGTCTCATGTAAATTATTAGATACTGTACTGAAAGTGAAAAACAGAATTGTTTCACACCATCATACCATTAAAAAATTGTAAATCAGACCATCATAAGTCAGGGACCATCCATAGTAGCACTTGGAAGCTGCTGTCATAAAAGAGCATCAGAATGACCTGATGAAGGCTTACATAAAGCACCAGCTTTATGTAAGGAATCCAACTGGATTCCTTCTTCCAAGGCATAGTATACTAACTTTGATCAGAGACCACTATATGATGGTGTGCTCCCAGTAGGAAGAATTCATGAGTCAAGAAGCAATTGATGGAAAATGGAGTGAGCGCACTCGCATTACTATAAATGATCCACTGGGGGACCTTGCAACCTGTCTCTACAACTCTGGGCTTTGTAGCATTGCAAGTCATGATCACCAAAGTAAAAGCACTTCTGCCATGAAATTCAGCAAGAGTCCCATTGAACAATAAACTATGGACGCTGCCTGAACACTTCAGGATCTTTATGTGCAGGGAATAGCAGACAAGAAGAGGAATTAACAACATCTGCTGTGGCCATCCTACAGACACAGAATGGATTCTCACCCAAAATTTGGGTCAAGTGTCAAGACTGATTACATCACACACACACTAGGAAAGCAGAATAGGCCTACTAAGCTGGTTGGAAAATGGCTTGAGAGAGGAGGGAAAGGAAACAGCCTTGGGCTTTTATGATTTTATGTGTATTCCCAATATTCAGATATTGAAGCCCTAATCCCCATAGTGGCTATATTGGAGTAAGGAAGTAATTAAGATTACGTGAGTTCATAGTCTTATCTAACCTGATAAGATTGGTGTCCTTATAATAAGAGACACAAGAGAGCTCTTATTCTCTTTCTCTCTCTCTCTCTCTCTCTCTCTCTCTCTCTCTCTCTCTCTCTCTCTCCCCTCTCTCTCTCTCTCTCTCTCTCTCTCTCTCTCTCTCTCTCCATGCACCAGGGAAAGACTATATGAGAACAGAATGAGAAGGTGGCCATCTTCAAGTTAGGAAAAGAATACTTGCTGGTAACAGAATTTGTCAGCACCTTGATACACATTTAATAACAACTCTCCATTTCCCCCTTCTCGCAGTCTTTAACATTCAACATTATATTCTCTGATTCTATGAATTTTACTAATTTTGAGACTTCATATAAGTGGAGTAATACAGTGTTTGTACTTCTGTGATTGGCTTATTTTATTTAGCTTAATGTCCTCAAGGTTCATCCATGTTGCAAATGGCAGGATTTCCTTCTTCTTTAAAGCTGAATAATATTCCATTGTATGTAGAAATATTTATCTGTTCATCTGTCCATGGACATTTAGATTGTTTCCATATCTTGCCTATTGTGAATAATGCTGCAGTGGATATTGGTGTGCAAATATCTATTTGAGATTCTGATTTCAATTAATTTTGATAAATACCCAGAAGTGGGATTGCTATATAATATGGTAGTTCTGTTGTTAACATTTTGTGGAACCTCCATACTGCTTTCCATAATGGGTACATTTACAAAAGGAATTTGTCTGTGTATTATTGTTGAATTGGTGTTTGTCAAGAAGGTGGGGCAGGAGGATTCAGGGATTCCTATTCTGCCATCTTGCTGATGTTTTTTCAGTATTATTTTAATAATTGTATTTCCATATTATTGGGGGCAATTTAATCCTACTTTTTCTTAGCATTTAAAGAATTATTCTCAAGAATAATTCTTTAATTATTCTTAGATACATAGGTTTCACAAGACTGCCAATGGTCAAACTTGATCAGAAGTAAGTCTACAATCCAGCTTAAAGAAGGCAGAAAAAGGGTGTGGAAAGTACCCAAGTATTGCAATGCCCTAGTTGATAGATGTTGCGTGTCACCTACATTCACATTTTATTGCTGAAAATTTACTTACATGGCTACACTAACTGCTAGCAAGGCTAGAACTTGCAGTGTATCAGGGAAGCCATGTGTCTATAGTTCTATCACATTGTAGACAGGAAAGCAGAATTGTAAATTCCATGCAATCCATACAACTGCTTTCTTGTGGTTGGTTACCCAATACGTTTTCTGTCTTTTGTTCTAAGAATTTATTAATATATTTTCTTGGTTTTTCTGTGTAGACAGATTTCTCTTCCTTACCACTTTATTCTTTATAATGTTTATTTATTTTTCTTATCTTGCTGCACTATCATCTCCAATATAATGTTTAATAAAAGCAACAATAGAGAACCCTTGTCTTATTCTCAATTTAGTAGAAATTCTGCTACAACTTTTCTCTATTAAGTGAGATACACGTTCCAGTTATTTTATGGGTAACCTTCATGAGGTTAAGGAAGTTATATTCTATTCTTAGTTTGCTAATGGCTGAGATTCATAGGACAAACAGTGATAGCCCTTCATAATCTGGCTACAGGAAAGAGTGATTGAACAAGGTTTAGTCTCTAAGGAGATACACAAAGTACTTGAGGGATGATGTCTTTCTAATCCCTGAGTTCCCTCTGAAGATACTGATATTCCTTCCAGGGCAAGCTCTGATGGAACTCATTTGGAGGGTAGAGGGTAGGAAGGAGTTGATACTGCATTTACTCTGGCCTCTGGAGGTAGAGCCTTAGCTACAAAACAGAAACCTGCAAATCAAGAGACTCATATTACAATCCTGGTTCTGATACCAGCCCACTGTCTGATGTCGATCAACATGATTGAAACAACTAATATTTACAGGGCTTTTTATCAGGCTTGTGATGAGCATATTACATGCTACATGCTTTGTCACATTGAAGGTTCACAAAGCCCCAATGATATGGATATTCTTAGTGTTCACATTTTATGGATGAAGAAAAGAAGGTACAGGGTTGAAGTGCCTTGTGCAAGATCACCAAACACTAAGTAGCAGAGCCAGGATTGTAATGTAACTTTAGTTAAACAACTCCATATTAATAATGAATTTTTTGTACCAGAGATCCTGTTCTGGGCTTTAAAAATTACTTACACAAAAGCACAGTGTGAACTATACCTGGAATAAGCAAACTTCCATGCAAATGGGTCTAATAAGCAAAAGTCAGAATGTTTATAGTGCACATAGTTTTCTAAACATAAATATTTATTTCAATATAGAAGCACAACATCTGCAACAGTACTTTTGCTTTTTTTTCTGTCACTGACGTGTTTTACCTCAGGGCTAGAATTTCAGATACTACATCATTACCATTCACTGTGCCATTTATACTCAAGCTTTCAATATACACAATGTATATTTAAATGAGACAAAGTCTAGTTTGTTAGGTGGGAATGAGTTGGCATGTAGAGGGAGATGGAAGGTTGTTGAAGGATCTGGGGATACAAAACTACCAAGCTTCAGTCAAAGTAGAGCCGAAAAGGAGATTTCTACTTAAACAAGTGGGACAGGGGTGCTATATATGGAAAGAAGTTTGATGAGGATACAGAAAAAGAGGGGCTATGAGATATGATGTGAATGAATTACTTTCTTTCTCCACTCTCAGTTTATAAATTTGCGTGGTGGGAGTATAATTTGGTGGAGAAAGGTCGGGTTGGACAGGGGAGTTTACCTCCATCTTGCTGTATTGTCCCATGCTTGTCTGGTCACAAAAGCTACATCCCTCTCAGTCTGTAACTATTCCCCATTGTGGGAGTACTTTATTCAACCTACCAATGGCAGATCTGGCAAGAACACAGAGAATCCTCCTAATAGGACAGTTGAAAGGGGTTGAGTTCGCAAATAAGACAATGCATTTGCATTGTTTTATGGCCATTGAGCTTATTGGAATACTGGGATATGAAGACCTGACCCGCTTTTTAGTTATTCCCCATAAGACAGAGAAGGGAGAATTTTTCAACCCAGTCAAATTTATTAGAGCAAACGAATTGAAGGGGATTCTGACAAAGAGAAATATACTAGAATAGAGCCTTTCTATGCTTTTGATAATAATGAATTACTCAATGACATTCAGAATGTTCTGCCATAGCATTGGCCTCCTCCACAGCCAACAAAGATCAGACGGGGTCCAATCTTCATCCCATCCCAAGGGAATGCAAGTCCAAGCTCACATCAATCACACCAGGCTATATTAGTTATTTATTTCCCATTGCAATACATACATGCAATTAGCCAATGGCCTCTTTCCCAACTATACTTCCGCTGGGTTCACAACTTTCCCTACAAAGAGATTACTCCTGGTGCTTCTCTCCAAAATCAACAACATGAAATATCTATAAAGTTGGATAATAGGGTGTCAGAGAGTGTTTTCAGGCTGATCCTAAAGTTCAACTTCAGGGACAGCTGCAACTTCAGTTTCCTTTTCACCAATGTGCAGCACAGCCTTATGGGCAGCCTGTGTGGAGAGAACAAACCCTGTTGGTCTCTGAAGAAACAGGAACAGTCTTTGGAAAGGTCTATAAGTAAGTAAGAGAAAGGAAAGATGGGGCCACCCCTTTGTTATACTATGTTGATGGTGCTCGAATATGAAGTCTCCTTGGCTAAATGTAGTCAATCTCCAGTGATCTTAGGGCTAGCCATTGAGGAAGCATCCATTCCATGGCATTCTGCCTCCAGGAGTCATCTCTTAAGCATTCCCTCCCCACACCTCCTCCAGAACTGCATCTCACCAGAGTCACTTCTAATCATTAAGCTGTTCTATCAGAGTAATTTTAGGACATAAACGTCAAGGATGGAAGAAACTGATACAATTACTTATTTGGAGTAATGGGAATGACTCTGGAGTGATTCTAGCTTAGGAGGAGTCATAATGCCTCTCTAGGCGTCACATTGCTAAATGGTAAAATAAGAAACTTGAATTAATTGACTCCTAATCGCCTTTCTAGTTTATACATTTAAGAACTCTAGTTTATCAACTTAAATTGGAACATTTCAGACCATTGTCCTCTGTAAGTCCAGAAAACTCAGCATTTTCAGCATAGGCATGCTGAATGCCCATCTTCAAAAGTGTGGCTCCAAGATCATATGTGGCAGAAATGGAAAACTTTGGAACAAACTAGTCAGCCCACCTGTGGGGAAAGAGGAAGGGAACACGTGGCAATTACCACATCAAGCTCATGATTATCTCCTTCTCTCTCATGCTAGTATTATATTGGACTCTTCTCCCCTGAGTATTGACAACCATTACTATATAAGTCAATATATGGCACCAAACCTAAAGAAGTTATTCTGAAAGGAATATGCTCAGATTCAGCCAACATTGGGCTGAAACACTAGGAGTAGAGAGACGTAACTCCTATATAATCAAGAGGAAATATCTCTGGAGCGATAACCAAGGTTGGGGAACCAGTGGCATTAAGGTTAACGAGTAGCACCCAGGAGCTTCATGGTTTTCCATCTTGTACTTCCAATCCAGAGTGGCTGCCCAATCACCTTTCAAAATCAAAATCCAACCTGTTCCTTGAGCTATAGTTTGTCTTCAGGAAGGCACCAATTTACTAGCAGGCTGACTTTGGGAAGCTCATTTTATCTTTCAAGACCTGACTTCCTAGTTTGAAAAATGCCAATTATACTGCCTCCTTTGTAGGTTTGTTGATGTGTTTTGATGATATACAGTGTGTAGAATGCCCAGCCAAGGGTATGTTCTTGGCATATTCTAGTGATCATACATAGCTGTTGCGTAGTTCAGGGTGATTCTTCTGCCTCTGGGTTTCTGCTGAACTGCATCTCACCTGCACTGTTATGCTCACCTTCCACCCACACATCCTCTAAGACCCCCTTCTGCAGTAAGTGGTTCCACTTCTTCAGTGTTTTAGATGACATGGTCACTTCCACTGACTCCATCTGTCCCTCCTTGGGAAGAACAAAGAGTACCAGAGCATTCCTCTTGTAGTCCATTTGCAGCACTGTGCAGTTCAATTCCATATCCACTAGGTGATAGTATTGTTCCATCTAGTACATCATGGGCACTACCACAGTGGTGGTCTTGTCTATTAAGAAGCTGGAACTGTCTTCTGTCTTGGATGGATCAAAAGGATTTGCCCACTGGACTTAAAACACAAAGAAAGAGAGGTGTTTATTTTAAACTGGTATTAGTGCCAACAAGAACTTTTCCATTAGTCATGTCATGTAGTAATTAAGACCACCATAGAGTTAGGTACCAGCTTTATAAGTAAACCTGCTTTACAAGTAACTGAGGATCAGACAGAGAAAGTCATTTGACATGGTCTCCCAGTTAACAGGTGGCAGAATCAGGAATCACACCCAAGGCTGTTGGGCTCTATGGTCTGTGTTGAAAACTACTACATCACACTAAGCCCATCAGAGCCATAGTTTCCTCTTCCATCAAAAGGTTTGAGGTCATCCAACACACTAGGGTGAAATGAGATAACAGATCTTTTCTGCTGTTTTAGCCAGTCTGTATATGTGTGGTTTGTGGCCAACAATTGTTAACTCCTCCAAGCAGTGTGGTTGACATCCACTATAGAACCAGGAGAAATCATTTCAGCACAGTACCTTTAGAAAATAGTCACAGGATTCTTGTTTCTACAAGCATCAGCTTTAGATTCACACAGACCTTGTTGGGAATATCAGCTCTAAAACTTATTAACCGTGCAAACTTGGGCACTTATGAGAATTGGATGAGACAGTGTGTGTATACCACACATGTAGGATGGTATTTGGTACACAGTGAGTGCATAATACATGATAAAAGTGTGTATGTAACATCCCTAAGTATGCACAGCAAATGAGAATCACAGTAGGCTTTACATACAAATATGTCTACTTGACAAGTACAAGCTTGTCCCATTTCACCAAATCTTTTGGAAACCATAAACCTTTAGCCAACTATGAGCAAGATGTTCACACCATTGTCACCCACCTCTGAAAGGGCGCTCTCCCTAGAAATTTCCTGGACTCATTCATAGAGCTGTGTGTCCATCTTGGAAGATCCAGTACTATTCAGAGCTACGTCCAGTGGAGAAGATCAGTGTGCTATGAGGGACACCTACTGATGCCAGTAATAAGAGACCTTGATCTCCCCTCAGCACTCCACCCAAGTGTCTGAACCCTAGACTGGAAATTGACATCTGAAAGTCCTACCTTTAAAATGAATATAGTTCACTAAGATCATGATAGCATTTGGTTTTAGGTCTTGAATTAGACCCACAACATTCCCTTTGGTTTGCATCTCCACATGACTGTTAATCTCCTGCGTGGCTGCAGAAACATTGGAGAAGTCGGTAGAAAAGACTTCAGTCTCATAAAGTTCTCTTGACAACATCCAAGATCTTTGCCAGTGGTTCCAGATGCTTCCCAATGAAGAGGACATTTCCTACCTGCAATTCCAATTGTTTCTTTGGAAAATTCAGTGAACAGATCAATTTCTGGAAGCCCTGCTGGATCTCTAACATTGGAGTGTCTGTCTGTGAGGTTGAATCCCAAGGTTTCCATAATCTCAGTTTGGGTGTTGGAGCAGGACCAAAAAGAAAGCATAGCCAAAGCTGCAGAAATGCTCACAAGAGAAAAGAAGATGTTCTTATCTGGGGTCAAAAGGGAACCTCCAGTACAGGTCGAATGCAAAGTCAGCATTAATGGATGACATTGTATAGAGAGTGGCATTTTGTTGGGATGAATGGCAGGTAGTTACTTTGCCTTCAGGTGGTGCACAGTGGACTGGAGCATGAAGCCCAAGTACCAAGAGAACCGATAGAGGAATGATGACATTTTGGAAGGAAGTTAATCTATAAGAGATGAAGTGAAAGAACCATTGCGGGAGCTTAGTTAGATGAAACACTCCCTGAGCCAGAGACACATAATTATCACCCATATTGATTAATAGAAGAATAGTAAATATTTGATGATGTGCTAATCAGGGGCTGAGTGAGGGTTTCTCGTCCCTGAAAAACTGGAGATGCACTAATATGGACAGGGAGTAGAAGAAGTGGCTTGCTGGGGCCACAAAAATAATGTTGTGTACTGTCATTCAAATGTTATAGCAGCATAATGAAAATGCTGTGAGTAAATCAAATTTGCAAAAATGGAATCACTTATTTGAACTAGAGGCAACCTTTTGGAGAGAGAGGATATTCTTAGGTAAAACTGGTACTCCCTCTGCATACATTATTTATTGTAGATTAGAATTTTGGATGTTTTTAATTTGGCATTTTCTTAAGATAAAATCTATAAGATGAGATGAGAAAACAATTGCATCTTCTTTGGCCAAAAGACAAAATGAAAATAATTTGTACAATATGTGACTAGTTGGAATGGATGGGTGGTGGTTTATGGAGCCACATACAAGATCATAAGCTGAAATTCATGCATTTTGCAATGCATGGAAACCACGGAGGTATTTTTAAACAACAGGAAAATGAAAGAATAACTTTCTAAATTTTAGATTTATTTCACCATTCATCTTAGTAACATCTAAACAGTCATTTCTAAGTTGTAAGACATCTTAACACTATTATTTTTACACCTATTCATGTTACTTCTAATTATTAGAAAGAAATCCAGAAATGGCATAAGGTTCTCTGATCCTAGAAGAGTACAAAGAAATGGAGTAAAGGAGTCAGGTGTAGAAATCCCATGAAAGTGGGCATGTATGCTTAGAAGGAAGAAATCTAGGAAGTCGGAGAAAGGATCCTTCCTTGGCCCTCCATCTTCTTCCTGAGTGATCTTACCCTAGGCATTCAATGGCTAGAAACTGTACCTCTCTAAGTTAGATTGCTCTCTTGAGCTCTTAGTCATTTAATCAGCTGCTGTTTGGATATATCCACCAGGATGGTTCACACAGACCTCAGTCTCAATAAGAAAATCTCAAAGTGGCCAGATGTAAACATATCATCTCCCTACCCCTTAAGCTTCTTCCCTCATCTTCATGCCACATCTCAGTCTATCACATCACTGTCTATGGAGACACCTAAGCCAGAAACCTGGGAATCATCTTAGAGTCTCCCTTTATTCTCATTCCCCACATCTAGTGAAACATGAAGTCTTATGAATACTAACTCATAAATAGCTCTCAGAACTTCTCCCATCTCTTCATTCGTGCTACCTCTGCCTCTCAGTTTATGGCCTGAACTATTATATCAGCTCCTAACAGGTCACACTGTCTCCTATATCCTCCATAGCAACCCCCGTCTTTCTTCACCACTCTATCGAATCTCCACATTGTCATCAGAGTCCTGTTTCTTTAAAAGTCACTGGGGCTGGTAAGAAGGTCAATTATTAGATGACCACACTTAGAACTTCACCCCTAGAGCCAGGAATTTGGTTTGGGACTCTGACTTACCGACTTGGTTATTTGGGACTCTGATTTGTTGATAGAGATGTTCAAAGTTTCCAAAGAGAAAAAAGGTACTTACAACAGATGCCCAAGAATCCACCTGCATATCTCAGGAAGCAACATCTTTCCATTTTTATAGCATGTCCTGTATTGCAAAACTAGAGCACTCTTAGTTACAAATTAACCCAGCATTAACTCTGGGATGATATTTTCAAAGCTGATGTACAAAATCAAGGCCACAAGGAACAAAGCAAAAAAAAGTGATAATGTTTGAACTTTGAGTGATTTCTTTGGCTGCCAGATGCTTCACGTAAAACAAAAGAGAAAGAGGATTGTCAGAGCTTGAGGGGTTTAGGTCCATACTAGCAAGAGTGTCTACAGCATGCAGAATGAGGGTCACAGGCAAAAGCACCACGGGGCAGCAGGAAAAAATTCTCACTATTGGGCCAAACAGTACAGGGATTGGCAGTTTTTGAGGGAAAATTGTACAAAGGCAGAGGCTGGGTGATCCTCTATAATGTAGAAATTATACATGCATTCACAGAAGAAATGATGTTAAAGGTAGCTTTCAGCCCTAGACTTCTGATGCTGCACACATATATGTCTGCTAAGGCGGAAACCAGCCCTGTCTTCTGGTCACTAAAATTACCTGTACCCTCCCCTGTTCACAGGACTCCAAAAGAGGATGCAGAAGAAGTTAAGGAGAATGAAATTTAAGATTCCACTGTCTAATATTAACTGTGTCCTGATTATATGTAAAGAAGCAATGGCCACAAAGAGAACTGGGCTCAGCCAGGAGACTTGATTTCAACCTGACTCTGAAAGTTTCTAGCTCCAGTAGTAGTAGCAGCAGCAGCAGAAATGGCAACTTCTGCTTTTGAGTATTTACTATGGGCATGGCATTTTGTGAAGCATCTGATTCCAGATACTTCCAGCTTCAGTACTACATTAAGAATGTATGTATTAATTTGTAGTGGGAGGGGAGGCAGGGAATGAGGGGCTAGTTTTAGCTAAAACTAAATGCAGTCTACGGTAAGACTAGAAGCCAGGATAAATAGTGCCGATTTTACCTTGGGGGCACTGGGAAGCCATTGGGGGGTAGATAGAGGGTGATTCTGTGTACCATTATTTCTTCTTAACAAAACATAGACTAACCTCCCACTATGTGGAAAGCACCACAGTCAGCACTGAGGTTTCAGAGCTGGATAGTAAATATCAATCCTGAACCCAAGAGATCTTTCTAACTACCTGACACCCACTGCCCATTGAAGAAGGCTCACCTCACAAATGTGATGGTCACTAGTACATGTGTCCCAAAGAAAGAGAGTGACAATCTCAGGTCTCTAGGCTGTGAGGTTAGTCCATGTAATATAACACATTGTCTGTTCTCTCCGCTACAGCAAGTCCCTACAGAAAAAACAGCAATAGATTATGTAAAAAGAAAATTTCCAAATTTGTGCCCTCTGGTGGTATTGTCAGACAATGCTACAGGTTGTTTTCTGCTGCTGATTCAGCTGAGCTTTGCTAGCAGGACACCCTTCCCTTTGCAGACTCCCCTGCCCTGTACTCTGGCATCACAGGCATTAGACCTGTACTCTTATCATGTCTCTATGTTGTAACTGTATAATTTGGGACAAGTTACTTAACATGCTTGAACCTCAGTTTTCTCACCTCTAAAGTGGAAATAATAATACTTCCCATGTCATGTGGTTATTGAGAGTATAAAACGAAATTTAGAGGTGATGTCCAGAAGCTCCCGTAGTAGTGCCCTGCATAAAGTGGGGATCCAGAAACGGATAATTCTCTTCCCTTTCTTCTGTTATCTTATACTCCCTCACCTCAACTCTGAGGCTCCCTATTCCCTGAGCTTTATCTCTACCCACTACTGTTGTTCATTTCTACTTTCTGCTAATATATTCTCCTTCAGATGTAATTGTTTCAGAAGGTGTAAGATCTTCTTGCAAACTTACATTTATCACAATAATTTCAGTCTTGTGTAAAGCTGCTAGAGTAGCACATTGAATAGACTCTCTAGGAAGTTTTACCATATTAATAAATTCAATCAGATCTAAATTATATATCTTCTTCTTTAAATGAGCACCCTCATAATCATTCCCACACAAGTTTTATTTTGGAAATGTTCAACGTTCCACAGTTCTTTCTGTTTGTAAACACTGTTGTCATTGTTTTGACTTGATATTTGATCCTCCACCCCAGTCTGGAGAGAAATGATGGGATCTTACTCTACTAACAGGTCTGGAGACAATAGGTACGAGATAGTGACATTAAGAAAATTGGCTTTTTCTTGTAATTAAAGTATCACAGGCCAGAAAATTACTGGGTGTTTAAGCAAAGGAGAAACAGCTGCATTGGACAAAGAGTAGGACTGTTTCTGCTGAAAAGGGAGGCTCAGTTGGCATTTGGAGTTGAGGTTCTTTTAACTCTCTCAACTTTACTACTCTAAAATTTTTACCCTTTGCATTTAAGTGACTAATTTTGACAAAAGTGACATCAAAGCTGAGAAATCAACAAATTCTATAATTTGGTAATACACAGGATCAAATGGTGAGTATAGGATTTAGCTAACAGCCCTCCAGAAATTCTGTTTACATATTCCCTGTCTTCCATGTATTCCTTGAGCACTTAAGTGAAGAAATTAGGCTTCTGAGCAATAATTGAGGCTTCTTTTTAAAAGCTTTCTAGTGCCATCATAAGCATCCACTTCACCTCGCAATCTATTAACTACTTACATTGCTCAGACTTCTCTGTGGCAGCAATGAGGTCTTCCAAAGCCAGGCCTTCCAAAGGCTTTGCATTTCAGAGAACCACCTAATTAAATGATATGCTCTTTCATTTCATGGGCTGCCATATTCCCCTTCTAGAGCACAAATGGAGTTTTTAACTGCCTTTAGTCCTACTGGGGCAGATAATCAACTTCAAAATTCTCCAATTTCCTTAAATTTTGTTGCATGAAACCTAATTTCTGTTATTAATGTCTGTATCAGTTATAGTACTTGGCTCCAAGCAACAGTAACTGCTGTTGCTAACCTTAACATAAAAGCCACTTATTGAAGGACATACATTTACTCAAAATGAAAAGGAATGACAGAGAACCTTGCTCATTTTGCATAGAGAAAACCATGGGGACAGGGGTATGAATTTCCCCACTACATAAACATTGGTTAACAGTCTGGCTGGAAGTCCATTGGAAAGGACACGATCATAAAATAAGTAATAAACAAATGTGGGGAAGACGTATATGTGACTATCTCTGCAAATGAGCATACAATACAAAGATATTTGGGTTTCATGTGAATATTCACCAAAGAACAACCTCAGCAGAGGTTAGTAATCAAGGGGATGAGATGATGCATTCTGTGGATGTCAGTCAGCCTCATTCTCAGATCCTCTTGTCTTTGCTTGAGGGTTCATGAAG